ATTCACACTATCAAAAATGTTGTCTTGTTTTGAGCTGTTTACGGACATAATAAATTTTCAGCTTTTTTAGTATTTTTCCTATGGTTGCCAATAAAATTGTATTTGTTGAGTAAAAATGCTTAAAAATTTAATACAAGGCTCTTAATATAATTAATAGTTTTTAAATCCTAGGTATAAGAAAACTACCAAAAAATTTACAAAACAGATAAAATATGCAATACATTGAATTTGTAAAATCAATTTTTGTTTTTTAGTCATTGCTTGAACAAACTATTGATTAGAAAACTGAAAATTTTACCCGCTACTAAAAATATTTATGCATTTAGACCGATAAGGGGAAGATAACAGACTTTTTGTTGTTCAATTTTGATTCTGAAAATATTTAAAAATTTGTTGACTTTTTTCTAGGTCATTTAAGAAGTTTACTAATTTTTTTTAAATAAAAAGCCTTAAAATTAAGATTTTATAAATTAAAAAATAGTGATACAATTTGTATTTATTGTAGAAAAATTACATTTTTAATCAAAAAAGTGCTTTTTACTAACATAGTTCAAAAAATAACTAAATCATACATATTGATACTATTTTCATAGGTAATTAAGATCGGACCATTGACAAAATATATTATGAATCGAACCACAACTATATTAGGTATACTCAAGGCTGGGCATTAACGAGTTAAAAGTTAAAATTAAGTTAAAACGTTAAGTTACTTTTAATTAAGTTAATTAACTCGTTACTTTTTTTTGCAAATTAACTTTTAACTCAATAAGTTACTTTTTTCCAAGATAAACGTGTTATTTTCAAGTTAATTTTATTTCAAAAGTATCTAAATTAAGTTAATTTTCGTCCGAAGAATAATGGAAATTTTTGAATGGATTTTTACTTTGATATATAAATATCATGTTAAATTTCCCCAGTAATTTTCTTGAGCTTAAAGAAAAACTATCTAATAAACCATATTACCTATGTGTCTGGATTTTTTTATTTTTGCAAATTAGCAAATTTTAACTTTACACTAAGTTAAGTTACTTTTTTTTCAAAGTTAACTTCTAACTTAACGAGTTAACGAAAAAAAATACGAGTAATTTTTAACTTAACTTAACTTTATCATTTTAAAATAACTTAAAACGCCACTGCCAAACGCTGAAATGCAATAACACCATTTGGATGGGTAAATTATTGAGATAAAATATTTTGAGTAGTTTTTACACGCACTTATACATGGAAACTATGAATATACAGATATACTTGTGGATTATATTATGTATAAGGTACATGCCTTAATTTTACCTTTATAAAACCCCTTAAAATATTCCCCACCCGCCGTTGGCCATATCAAATTGTGTTAATTTAATTTGTTGTACTTAATTTAAATTGCAATATTTTGTGTATATTGGGTACGAAAATCAGGGGGGCGCGGCATACGTGAAATAGGGAATGGTAAACAAGCCGACCCCGCGTAGCGTATCCCGCCTATGATCCGGGAAACGGGTAAAACATCATATTGGTGTACGGAAACAGTTTCATTGTTCGAACTTCAGATCATAGGTAAACACTTCACCCATCAGCTGATCGAGTTTCGCTTCTATATAGTTCTATGGTTATACCAATAAATTACCATGCTAAGATATTAATATATTATTGTCACAAATCTTCGTCTTTTATTTTTATAACATAAATTAATGAACTGTTGTCTGTTGATAACAACAAATAACAATATTATTGTGACCGTCTGAGTGACGACAACCGCCAGCCGGCTAGCTCCATAGGGGTTTTGTGTATATTAATATCTTTCATATTCGACTGCCTGAAATATTATATAATATTAATTATTAATATCTATAATATAGATATCAGTTTATTTATAGATGTATAATGGAAAAATTGTTGTGTTGACTGTCGACATTATTCTGTGTCCTGTGACGAACTAGGCACACTACGACCTCATTCCTTACCGTTATAACATCATAGATGTCGTTAAAGTTAACCGTTTTTTTTTGAGCATTAGGTACCTATGTGTATTTTTGATTTTAGACAACTGTAACTTTTGCAATAGATTTTCAGTTTTCGTATGGTTTCAAGTTTGTACTACTCTTTTGAAATTTCTCATAAATCAGGTATGTATAAGTATAACATTCAAATAAACTATTATTTATTTAAATAGGTATTACCTATGTAAATTAATATTGTAAATAGTGTTTTTACCATAGACATAGTAATATAGACATAATCATGCATTACTTGGGATACGATTATGTTGCTAATGGCCGTGCAAAACGAGATGGTGTAAGGTAAGTTTGCAACATTATACAATTACCTATAATCATCTGTATTTTTTTAATAAACTAAGTAGTAAGTACCTTATATTAATTTAATATCTTTGAGTACCTTATAATAATTTAATATATTTAAGTACTTGTGTGTAACTAAATACCTACAAAGTTTTAACAGGTGCATTTTAATGTTAAAATGAAATTAGTATAAATAATTTCTGTTGAAGTATTAAGTATATAATTTAGTAATCACACTGTAAAAAATCTACTCATAAGTCATAAGTAATATTGTTACACTGTAGATTAATATAGATTAATATACAGATAAATGTAGTAATGTGAGAAGTATAAATGCTGAGTTTACACATTGGGATCTCAGATGTACCGTAGTAGGTAATAATATAGCCACGGTAGAATTATATAGTTCAGTCAGTCAAGTTAAATGACTCTTTGTGTGCATATGTTCTCTGATTAATATTATAGTTCATTTATATAACAAACATTTTTACTCTTTTCTTAATAACCTATTCTATTCAAAAATTTCATAACACCTATCTTCATTTATAGATATTGGAAATGTGCTGTTTCAAGAATTAATTTTTGTGCTGGTTCAGCTAAAGAGATAGCACCAAACCAATATCAAGCACTAAGTACCCATAACCATGCCCCTAACATTCCAAGTCCTATTATCACGTTCAAACATTGTTTAAAAAGAAGAGCTGCTCAAGAGACAGGATCTTTAAGAACCATATATAGTGAAGAGTCTTTGCGGTGAGTTAAATATAGAGTTTTTGATTACATCCAGGTAAAATAAAGTGGGAGTTTAATTAATTTTTTTCTTATTTTGTTCATAGATACCATGATGCAGCTCTTCAGTATCCTTGGTCATCAGCCGAAAACTTAATGAGACGTGCTAGACGAGATTCACTTCCGCCTATTCCAGCAAGTCTTCGTGAATTAGGTGATGTCTTTGAAAACGGATTGTTGAATAGATACTTTTGCTGCCGTGAACGTATCATGTACAAGACTTGCCTTAGAGATTCAAATGGATTTTATTCTGTAGTGTTTGCTTGTAATGAGTTATTGGATGAAATTATTCGTTATAGTGTAACCGAATTACATGCCGATGGTACTTTTAAAGTAGTTCCTTCCAATTTAGGAGCAAAGCAACTACTAGTCATCCATTGCATGATCCAAAATCACGTAAGCAAATTAATTTGTATCATTAGTATTTTACTTTAGTACTCAAATATATTTAATTGTTAAAAAGTAGTAGGTACATAAAAAGAAAAAAATTATAACTGAGAATAAAAGTTGAAGTTTTAAAGTTTAGAAGAGCCCACTATGTGTTTAATGTCCAGACACCTAATACATCTTTAATCCGGCTTGAACTGCTACCCCATTTAAATTTCCATGCAACCTTAAAATGTCCAGCTTTTTAAAATTGTCAGTTAATAGCTAATGTTTAATATTACCTTAAGTTTGTAGGTTAAAGATACTGTAAACCTAATCTAGACTTTTTTAAACTTTAATATATTATTTGTAGTTTGAATTTTAATTATTAAATTAATGTACCTAACTTATGTTTAAATAATTACTTTGTTTTAGTCTATTCCTATATTATTTGCACTCATGCAAAAAAAATCGAAAATTGCATACAATGTTATTGTTGAATTTTTACGGTCATTAGCTCCAACATTAAGGCCAACTAATATAATGACTGATTTTGAGCCAGCCTTACGTGATTCCTTATTGGAAAATTTTCCGGAGGCTGTTGCACATGGGTGTTGGTTCCATCACAATCAGGTTAGTTGATTTAAGTATTATTTTTTTATTATTTTAATCATATAATATTATACAGTGTGATTCCTTTTAAAGTTAACACTAAATAATTCTGTCCAGTGACATCGGATTAATATGCGGTTTATACATAAATACACATTTCTTGATGATTTTTACATTTTTAGATCTTTCCGTGTACGCATGCGCAATAAAACTTGCATTTTTTTAAATGGCAACAGGTGTTTTGAATACCAAATTCGGATAGACCGAATTTTTTTAAGTCGATTTGGTCCTTTATACCATAGCTATAAAATCAAAATTGACTAAATGGCAACCAGTGAAAATTTTGATTAAAATTATTGAATTTTTCATATTCATATTTCAATTCATAAAATTCTAGTATGATTGTTGAAAAATTCAATAATTTTAATCGAAACTGACTGGTTGCCATTTAGTCATTTTTGATTTTAGAGCTATGGTAAAAAGGACCAAATAGACTTTCGGTCCATCTGAATTTGGTATTCACCTGTTGCCATTTAAAAAAATGCAAGTTTTATTGCGCATGCGCACACGGAAAGATCTAAAAATGTAAAATTTATCAAGAAATGTGTATTTATGTATTCCCTATCCCCTCCCGAAAATCGCATATTAATCTGATGTCACTGGACAGAATTATTTAGTGTTACCTTTAAAAGGAATCACACTATATATTGTTAAATTATTAATGATATAATTTTTATAAAATATATGATATTCAATGAAAGCTTTAAAAAGTTTTGAATAATATTAAGAATAGAGAATGTTTTTTTTCTATTTCCAGGCAGTATGGAAAAATGTTGTGAAGCTAGGTTTTTTGCATTTGGTTAATACAAATGATATAGCTCTAAAAATTATTAGAATGCTGATGTCACTTCCTTTATTGCCTGCTATGTCGATGCGACTAGGTTTTGATGAATTGCGTCTTTACTCCAGAAGAAATAATGTCAATTTTGAATCCCTTTTTTCTTACTATGAAAGGTACATTACTATTTGAGGTTCTTTTAACTTATTTATACACTTATACGTGTAAATTCATATTCATTATTTTAATATTTTACATTTATTTTATAGGTTCTGGTTAGATAGAATGGGAACACAATTTGTTTCTGTGTATAATTGTCCTCGGCGAACAAACAACAATGTAGAATCATTTCACAACCAACTGCGTCTTAAATTTTGTTCTGACCATCCAAACTTATGGATTTTTATTGGTAATTACTAGATAATTAATAGGTGAATTACCAAATATGTGTTAAAATTTGGTATATCTACATTTAAAATGTTCAAAATATTTTTTCAACAGAAAAGTTATGCGATATTAGTAAAGAGTACCATGTTATGATTGGTCAAATAAATAATGGAAGGAGACCTACACGCTCTTTAAGTAACCAGTTTTTGGCCAATGGAAGGCAAATACGCAATGCCACAGCAGAGTATGACTTACAGCTGATAACTCTTATGGACTTTTTGCATAGAGTATCATATTCAGTTGGTTCTTATGTAAATCGCCAAAGAAACTGGGTGAATAATATTGAAAATCAAAATCCTCAAGAAAATATTAATGCAAGGGACATAGATAACAATTTGCCTGCACTTGTTGAAAATCGTAAGTGTTACTGAGGTAATAACTTACTGCAGTATAGACAATTTTATAATACATGCATTTTTTAGGTGTATTTGAAGTTGAAAATATTGATAATGCTGAGGACAATCAACTTCCTCAACAAAATCCTCATTTTGAACATACAGAAAATGACAATGGTAAGCTGAATAGTCATTGTTTAAAAAATTATGTAAAACCTGAAAACCATTATGAGCCAAGGGAGTAGTTAGAAAACAATTTTTGTTTGTGAGGATTACGTTAACAATTATATTTTTTGATTTAGATAATTAAAACCAAATGTATTACACTTTTATAATTACCTATTTAATTTAATTTGTGTGATCAAAGTTGGAACGGAACTAAGTTACGGATTTGGTTAGAATAATGTATTAGGTTAATAATAATTTTTATATTTGAATAGCGTTAAACTCCAATTTTCCCCAAAGCTACAGTCTTCATTATTATATATTATTATGGTGATCAAATTCATACATTTTACAAGATAAAAAAAAAAAGTTAATATACACATTGTAATTATAAGTCTTTTGTTCTGTAGGTGAAATTATGGTTGGAGATGTTGAAAATGAAATTTCCATCACATCAGGTAAAATAAAATAATATAGTTGTATGTACCTTCTTATAATTTGTTAACATAGTGCTAATCTTTATAAAGGTTATTAAATATTAAAAATTACTATACATTTTTTATGATTTAAATGTGTTTTAACTTTTAATATAACTGCTATTTAAGAATGTACATTTTTTTCAGGCGATGAAGAGGATTATTTCACACCGGAAGATAGAGATCCCGACATGCAGTATATGATGGATGTTGAAACAAGAAGGCGACAATTGGAGTTAGAGCAAATACCTTATGTCAGAGTCCCGGTTATTCTTCCGTCTTTAATAAACATAGATGAAATGTGTATCGTTTGCAAAGATGCTGAAAAAACGCACGCGCTGATCCCATGTGGTCACAAAGTAGTCTGTGAAGAGTGTCTGAACCTTTTAGATCCAAAACGTTGCCCTTTGTGCAATTCAAATTTTATTACCTCCCTCAGAGTTTGGTGAAAATGTATTTAAATATTTTAATTGTATTATGTACTTATTGTGTAACTACTTAAGTACTATAAAAGAATTCTACAATAAGAAATTGTATAATTGTATATTTTTATCTCAAAATTTATTTTTTGAAATTATGGCTGTTTCATATTATAACATTGACCAACAGTAATTAATTATTTTAATTATAATTATCTTTTTAACACTAATGGGCATACCCAAATAAAGAAAAGTTATGTTTTAAAAAATTGTTGTATATTCATTTGTTAACCCTCTAAAAAACTAGAGAAGAATATCAATCTAGTATACCTATATTTTAGTTTAAATAACTTTTATCGGATTATTGGGATATTTTAGAATTATTATACAAATACCTATAGTTAAAAAACATAATTCAAATGAAAATTCAAAATTTTACAACTCAATCCATGAAAGAATATTAATATTTACTACAGTTACAATTGTTAATTAAAATCTTCATTACATACTAACAAGTGTTCATAATTTTTATCTTATATAAATTAATTCATTTTATGGAAAAGTTTATAAGATGATTAATTTAGGTCTAGTTGTCTAATTATGACTAGGTCAGTCCACACAAAATTATCCAAAGTATTTTCATGATAATGTAATTTTTGTAAATTATAATTTTTTTAACTCTACAATGCACTGTGTTTCATCTGGCCAAAAATCTAGAAAATGTAAATAAAATATCATAATATCATATAATACAGCTAATATTATGATGTTATTTTGAATTTTCTTCTTTTCCCTAGATTCATAGACAATAGAGATTGTGTCATGGGATTTATGAAAAAAAGGATAAAGATAAATTAACCATTAAAACGTCTACTGGTCCTGACGTTATATCTGTCTTATTTCTGTACAGGGCCGGATCGGTTAGGCGAGCTACCGAGGAAATCTCGGTGGGCCGCTTAAAGTTTGGGCCGGCCGTGTGAGTTTGAGTGGAAATAAATTCATGTTTAAAATGGGAGGCCACCCATAAGCTTGTAAAAATTATAGACGTAATTTTGAGCCACTGAATATGTAAATGAAGTGAAGATTATAGAAGTGAAAATCTCAATGGGCCGATACATGCCAATCCGGCCCTGTTTCTGTATCATTATAGATTTGCCCTTACTGCCCCTATACATGAAATTTTCAGACTTTCTTTAAACAAAGACATTTTCCCATCTCATTAGAAATCTTCTTTTATTATTATTAATATTATTAACTTATTATTATCTAATTCTGTATTATCTTGTAATTATTATTATCTATATTGTATTCTTCTTGTTATATAGGTAATTAAGTTACTTTTATGTTATTCAACTTGTGACACTTTGTTTAGTTTAAAGAAAATTAATGCATCCCATATCAACCTAACCTTTTTTTCTTATTTAGTTAATAAATAATATAACTAATAATTAATATTTAGTTAATTTTCTAATTAACTAAATAACTAATAATTCAAGAATAATCATAATTATATTATTAACTCATATCTATTAAAAAATTATGAACTATAAATTAATAAATATCTTTCTATTATAAAATGAAATGTGTAAGGGGTGTGGGGTTCAACAAGGTATACGAATTGGTGAATACCTACTATTTTTTTTTACAAGTATGTTACAATCCTAATAATTTTCTCAAAATTTGAGAATCCCAATAAATGATTGTTTTAAATAACATAATTCCAATAAATGTCAGTTCCAAGTATCGTCATTCCAGAAATTTTCTGTTCCGATCAATATATTCCAATCAAAACTAAACCCAATACATTATTTTCAAATAACTGTTTTTCCGAATATTTTATTCCGAATATTGTTGGTTCCATAGCTTAATATTCCAGTGTAATACGACATCCCACTTTAGTTACCTACCTATATGTGAACAGTTATTAT